AAAGGTTATTTAGCCTCCAAGTGTTACTTCCAGAGACTCATTACTCATCTTTTTTATGTACCAAAAAATCGAAGACTTGTATATAATAANGATCCTGTCCCAATGGTTTCCCTCATCATTACCCGTAAGCTTCGTTTTGTACAGGAAAAAGTTTGAAATTTCACAATTCACGAAAAATCTATTTTTTAAGTTTTAAATTTCGATTTAAAAAAAAATCAAAACAGGTATTCTGTATTTTTTTCTACTTTTTCAAATGGAATTTATCCCATAGGATTTCCATCAAAAGTTTTTTTTCTATGAGAAAAATGAATTTTCACAAGGGTAGTTTACCCTCCATATTTCATCCCCCGGAGACGGTTCTAATTTGCATTTTCATCATTCCTTGTGACCTTCATGATACACTGCGAAAGAGTTGTTCAAAAAGCTTCCTTATGTGTGCAATCGAGAAATGACCCCGAGAGGTGGTCAACTTCAGAGAGCACTTTCACCCCCTAAAACCCAATATGGGCAGCTAAAAAAAAATACATGTCCCTTAGTTTTAGGTCCCCTATAACATATTTAAGTTTCATCGAAATCGTAGGAGGACACCTGCGTAGTGTTCCTTGTCAGCCAAAGCATATACTATAGATTCTACAGTACAATGTAGGATTTTATTTAATTTTTTTTACACGAGAATTCGCGATCGCAGCGTAGATGTGAGAGCCACCAAGTGATCTCTAAACAAACTACTCTTGGGGGCCAACCAATGATATCATTGGGTTCTCCTTGATCTCATTGGTTGAGCCCCATCATTGGTTCCCTCCTAGAGATATCATTGGTTGGCCCCCAAGACTAGTTAGTTTAGAGACCACTTGATGGCTCCCACATCTACATTCCGATCGCGAATACCGACTGCGTCGAACAAAAATGCGTGGTTGTCAAATTTCATGAAAATTTTTATTTGTTAAAAAATTCCAATAAATAATATTTTGGAATAAAAATCATTTGGAATTGATTAATCATCAATAAGTGTAAAGAAACCTAAACGACGAAATTTGAAATTTTTTTGAATTTTTCCGGTTAGCCAGTCAATTGTAATTAAAAAAAAAAAAAGGGCGGCGGGGTTTCCCTCATATACTAAAGTCAGCATAACATTTTACTTCTCTGGGTACCCCCACTTAACGTAATTACCACTTGTAACTGTATCCCCCACTCCTAAAAGCGAAGGAAAAAGTTATGCTGACTTCAGCACAGGGTGACCAACCTAGGGTTGTGAAACGGTTCGTTTGTCCAATTATTCGTTTCGCCAGAGGCCTCCTTGTTTTCTATTTTATTCCATTCTATTAAGTTGAAATATCTTCCGATTATACTACATCTCATATTTCAATCAATTACAGGGATATTTAAAAATTACTTGGTCTAAATGTTTCCGACTCGTCCTTTGATTTAATTGGCTTTTACTGTCTACTATTGGGATTTTTCTCTCACCCATGTTCTCCAATCATTCAGAACGGAGATCTTTCTGTAAATATAAAAGATCTGTCTTGGACGGATTTCAGATGTTTGTTTCGTCCGGTCTGTCACGGAGGTTCATATTGGTTCCGCATGAGTCCGAGATAGATCCTTTTTTTTTTCAAGATTTCTGTCCGACGGTCGAACATAGGTGATTCAAAGATCCCATATCGTGTATCTAAAAGAAAAAGGTCGTAAACGCCAAAAAGATACTTTCCGAGTTTCTTAAAGCAAGATGGTCGTATCTCCACCCATTTTTTCTACAATTCTGCATGAAAATTCTGGAGAAACTTGTAATAATATCTACACTTTCAGATTGATTAATGAGGTCCATGTACGACCTTTTGCCTTTCACTTATTAATAACTAATAATTAATTAAAACTAATAATTTTATCAACACTTTGATCGATGTCTTTGATTATAATCAAATGATTATATCGGCAACTTAGTAATATAATTTATGTGAAAAAAACGTATCTCAAAATCTTTGTATGTTCCAAACATTTTTTGTCCACGATTCACCCGTTACATACCTCTTTGAAGATACGCCTGTGTATTACGTATTCGTAACGGAAGAACGTATCTCCAAAAAAAATCCAAATGAAAATTTGACATTCCTTACGTTTGTTCTCGTGTTTTATGTCTCTTGAGTCTCACCAAAAAATGATGAATTTGAAAAATGATAATCAGGGAACTGAAGCAATCTTTGTTCTTGAGGGTCAAACAGGGCAGCGATCGGGAGGATCCCGTGTGTTTTCGAGAGTGAAATGGGAGAGGTAGGTACAGTAACCAAAACCACGAGTAAAAAAAATTCCGGTTTCCAGAACCAAGGTACTGAATTTAATAAACTTTTGGAAGGCATGATATTGAGGATAAAAGAGGTTACTTAATTTCAGTAAAACATCCTTAAAATTCAGTACCAAAAAACCGTCATTTCCAGTTAAAAAAGTTTAAAATAAAGTACCGTTGAGTTTGTAAATGAACAACCATTGGATTCTTAGACCGCGAGAAAGATGTTCTAATATGTAGATCATATTTACAAATTATTTTCCATGATTCAAATTAATAAATTATTTTCAATGACTTAAATCTCAGAATGATTGCGGTTCACGGAACTCGAATAAATTCTCATTTATCACTATCATTCCGCGTTACATCATGAATATATTACATATCGAAACATTGGAAGTGCATAACAAAAGTTCATTTGCAATAAAATCACACTTGAGTACAAGAATATTTTAAAGCATAAGACCTTTCTCGGGCCACGTGCGTTGAGATACCTAATAATTTCCCTCATCTTTTTCACTTGTCTCACCTCTTTGATCCTTAGAAACTTTAAATCCTTTTTATAACTCCGCTTGACAGATCCTCAAGGCCATTTAACCCTTTAGAACTTTCGCTCCTTCATTTTTCTCATAAAAAAAGTCGTTTGAATGTCGCTCTGCATGCATTTTTTGCTACCATTCCATTTAGCCCCACCACTCCAATTTGCCCCACTTCCCCTTTGCTAATTCATAATGAAATGATTTTGGTACAGCCTCTGGAAGTTACTGTCCAACTGACTAGTCCATTCCCTTGGTTTTCAGAGGTGGGAGATATGGATGTGAGTGGGAATGAAATAAAGTGGGGGTAGCCAGGGTTGCCAGATGGGGCTATTTATAACCAAATGGGCTATTTGGGATGCATTTTGGCGGGCAAATTTTTGCTCCGGACTATAACACGCCAAGTAGGCTATATGCTGGCGGCATGCTTTCTTTTAAAATATAATATACTGCAGGACTGGGGAAAGAGTTCCACTCGGAATTGTAGGTCACGAGGGTCAGAAGGGAATGGTTAAATTTCACGAGAGTCAAACAACAAAAAAGTCACACGGGGATAGTCAAATTTCACTATAGTCAACCATGACGAGGGTCACAAAGGGATGGTCAAATTTCACGAGAGTCAAACGTCACGGGGGTTACCAAATAGCTCACCAAAAGAGCATCGTCAAATTTTTAATTTTCCAGGACCGCAAATGATAATGTAGAAAATTCAATAAAGCTTAATAATTTAGTACAATTGTTCCTTCCAGCACATAATAATATTGACACGGTTGATCCTTGTACTATAATTGACATTTGATCCTCATGGAATTGAACCCTTCAGACGCTAGACCCTAGTTGAACTGAACCCTCGTGACCCTCGTGAAATTGAACTCTTGAGACGCTTGACTCTCGTTAAATTGAATCCATGTAACCTTCGTCAAATTGAACCCTTCAGACGCTTGACCCTAGTGACCCTCGTGAAATTGAATCCTTTGGACGCTTGACCCTCGTTAAATTGAACCCTCGTGGCCCTCGTTACATTGTACCCTTCAGACGTTTGACCCTCGTGAAATTAAATCCTTTAAACGCTTGAGCCTCGTTAAATTGAAGCCTGAAAAATATTGCTAGCGATGTTAATATAGTTTGTATGAAAGATTAAAGAATAAAGAGTTCAATATGCTATAATTTTTTAACTTCCCGACCCGAAGGGAGGAAGTTATTGTAATGACCCCGAAAATCGAATGTTTTTTATTTGTATTATACTGGATTTTTCACATATAATAAGTTTTTCAAATTTTCCTGTTTGAAGTGGGCGGGAATTGGCGAAAATTTTGGACAGGGCTATTTTTGGGCTATACCAGCGCCACGTATTGGCGGTTCGGCTCCCCAAGTATCTGGCAACCCTGGGGGTAGCCACGAAGGGATCGGACTAGTCAGGGCTACAATCTCTCCAGTACGACTTTATTTCCCTAATCTGTACATTTTCAATTTTTTTAATCGTTTGAAAGTTTAAAATTAATTTGAAACAGAAGAACGTAATTGAGATTTACGCTTGAAAATGATACGTTGGTTTATTTTTTAAAAATTGAAAATGATTATTCCGATGATTTTTCCAATCCCGAGCGTAAATAGCGCATTTTTCAGAGATATGTTATTTTACTTTTGGAAATGACCGTTTTTGGTAGTTACGCTACTCTGTTACCAAGCTGTCAATATGCAGAACTATGTTTCGAGGGAATTTGAAACTTTTTCAGGTTATGATGATTAAGAATTGTGAATTCATGGGAGCATGATAATTCAATGCATGAAGAAATTATATTCGTTATTCACCCAATAAATAGAAGGATATTCTAATTTCTTTGATGAGAAATAAGCGAAATTGAAAGCAACTTTTTCAAAAAGATGTATATATCAAAGTGCAAGTAAAATAGAAAAATGGATATACGAGCATTTCGCTTTAATTGAGATATTTTTCCAACTTCATAAAAAGCAGAAGGTCTTTTCTCCATTGATCATTAAACTTCAGATATTTGATTTTATTTTTATTTTTTGGTTCACTTTGATGGGTTTCCTAAAAGCAGAAGCACGTATATGCTCGCGGATGCGACCTTTTGCCGGAGAAGGCCATTATTGGCAAATACGATCTTTTGCTTTTAGACACACGATATAATTCTTTATGATTAAGGAAATATATAATTCACCTCTTCAATTAACGTTGGATCCAAACATTCCCCATTGTCATCAAACAAACTGTCCCAGTCACACTCATCACGATTCACTTTGGCCGGAGGCGACGGCGGTGAAGCAGGTTTACTTTTAGCCCTCGCCACCTTCTTGAGTTTCTTTTCCGGTAGTCGAATAGTCGGTACTTCCTCCTGAATAATTTTCCTCGATGGCGAACTCTCACTAGTCGATATTATCAACACGTCAGACACTAAATTACGCGGTGAACTTGTTTCTTTTCTGCTATTAAGGACTTTCTCAGTTTTTTTCACTTCCGAAATATTTTCCAGTGTCACATCAATATTCGGTGTATCACATGGCACTTCCGGGTCGCAATGCCCATTGCTCCGATTGTGGAATTCATTTTGATCAGTATTTTGGTTGTTTTCGATAATCAGTCCATCCTGGAGATCCATTGGGAGTTGTGGAGGCTGTGACGAAGATTCGTGAGAGAATTCTTTGTGAGCCGATGAATCATTTGATATTTTCAGACTCTCTTCAGAGCCTTGTTGCTTTATTTGAGGAGATTCTGAAGGATTCCCTGTATTTGGGTTTCTGATACTACGTTCGTTTTTCGGTCGTATTGAAGGTGTCTCTTCTTGCAGCTGAAGATTCCCTTCAGCTTCTGTACTTCGACGATGCTTTGGAACGTACATAGCACGATCTGGCCTTTTCTGTCTTGTTCTGTATGTCAATAACGAAACTTATTTTTCCAATAACTAAATTTTCATACGATAAAAAAAATTGTCCAAAACATCCCTGTTTCAAACAGTGTTTATGATTTGCTACTACCCGGAAGAGGGCCTCACGAAAATGTCACTACCAAAATATGTGAAATTAATCATAGAGACATTCGATTTTCGTGAACCATGCCGTGAACCTTGCGAGGTCTCTTATCGATTGGTAGCTTAGTCTTTGTGCGAGATAAATAAATTTCTGTTTAGAACTTGTGTGTAGATGGAATTCTACTCTATAAACTTCCTTCCGAATACTCAGCGAGAACTGAAGTTTGTAAAATAGATTCATGTAATTCAATAAGCTGATCCAATTTTGATTTGAGATTATTTCCAGGAAAAATTGAAAAATCAAATGATAAAATAAAATAATAAAAAAAACAATGGAGACAAGACAAGATAATTCGTTCTGTAATTTTTAGACAAAATCGGAGATGTAATTCTTGTTTTCTGCCAACACTAATGGGAGTTGACATTCCCCCCTCTCTGGATTACGGACTGCATCTGCTCTCAGGACTATTTTACATTAGAATACATTATTTACTTTGCGGACCATATTCCCGCCGTTTTTGCTCAGGATCCTTTAAAACTGGACTCAACACCGGTAGCTTGAATTGGAGATCTTCTACCTACCACTAATGTTAAGATATTAATAAAAATTTGCATTCCTCCCTCCCGAACAATATTTGGCCCCATGAGGATATTCGCACATAAAAGTATATCTCCGCCGTTTCTGTTCAATATACTGTAGAAATGGACTCAAAACCTTTGTTCGGATTCTTCCCCTCCTTCCTCGCGGGATATATTTTCTTCAAAAAGTCACAGGAAAAAATGATCGTAATGAGAAATAAAAATGAAAGGAGTAAAATAATAATTGTCGTTCCGTTTTAATGAACGATCAGACCATTTCTGAGTATGTTTCAACTTTCTATACATACTTCGCAGTAGCGGATTCCGCGGTCGTGCTCACACTCGGAGATGTGCCGTTTTGACCCCGTCGTGCCGCTGGTGGACGATATATCTCGACAGCAGGTGTGGATCTCACTGCAAGTTGAACGTGAATCAGCAATCAAGTAGTAAAACGTGACAAGTCAATTTTCGCATCTCGTTAGACATGTGATAATCTCGAGAAATAGTGATTTTGGTAGAAAATGCCAAAAGGTTTTATTGTTAATTTTTTAATTCATAGAGACATGCCTCCAGGTACCTTATCACCCAAAAATGGAGAAATACGAAAAGTTTGATGCATATACCAGTAAAAAAATGTTAATATATTTGATTTTCATTAAAAAAATTTAAGGTCCAATACATACGAAACTTTTTCATACACTGTTGTTATGATATTAATATTCTAAACCCGACCGTAATGGTTGGGTGAGTTAGGTGTTGCTCCGGCGGACATTCGAGTGCAGCTACGTTTAGCTAGGTTAGTACTTGGATGGGTGACCGCTTAGGAACACCCTCGCCCAAAAATTTCGGAAGGTAGGCACGGTGCAGTGGCCTAATGTGCCCCTTTAGTCAGTGTGACAGAAGGGCACATTAGGGCTCTGCGCAATCGGCCGGCTGTACGACTGGGGTTTTCCATGGTTTCCCATGCAGTCCTAGCCCAAATGCCCTGAATGGGGTAAATAGTCCAGTCAAACTAGCTCTGAAAATGTCGTTTACATCGAAATTAACCAAAGGGCACCAAATTACACCAATCGATAACTAAAAGTGCAATTATTAATGTTTTAAAAAGTATATGCTCAAATTTGCCGGGGTGACTCACAATTTGTTATAAACAATTGGGAATTGCCGACAGGCTGTCTTCAATCCTAGATATCTTTAGTTAACCTTATCACATGGGAAAAAAAAATATTTCTTTGTAGCTGAGAAAATGTCCTATCGGGGGGAGTTAGGAACTTATAGCCCAAAATGTACCGTTAATTTATTATAAATTATAATAGCAATTTCGGAGCAGTCGGCGCAACGCGACAGCTGTTACCCTTCTTGCGACAGTGCCATGAGTCGCGTGATTGGCGCCATGCGCAACTTATTCAAACCTCCTGCTGCGCTGAACGCAATAACCCTCAGCTGGATTTTTGATGAGTATCTCTGAATCTGTGGCTAGTAGTCAAATTTTCATTATAAACTTTTTTGTAGATCTTTATTTGCTTTATAAAAATGGTCTTAACAAAAATTTTGCTATTCTCCAACGTTTTCGAGATATTCAATGAAAAATAGGCAAAATAAAATTGAAAAATTGGCTACTGAATTGTCGGCGGACAATTTCACTTATTATTGTTCAAGATCCCTTTTTTTATATCTGAAATTTTACTAATTTTATAATTCCTCTGATGCAAATTGACAAGTCCAGGGGAACAATTTCCTATTTTTTGTTTTGTACCTTCAAAATTTTAATTTTGATGACAGTTTTCATATGGTTTTTATGGATCTCATATAGAGATTTAATTTAATCTAGAGATTAAATAAATCTGACGATTTAAATAGTTAACTCGGCTTGGTGCAACCGGCCCATAATAGATAATATTATAATATATTAAGGCCCGTCTTTCAGATATTTTTTTTCTATTTTTTCCCTAGATTCCCCCCATTTCCCTAGATTATTTTCCATCTTACGCCTATACTGATTACGATCGATACAACGCGTGATAAAATATGACCTTCGACTCAAATGAAAGTTCATTAGCGTCGCCATGTTAGAAATTAGGTCTCAAAGAGATGTAAGATGTGATAAGGTCATAATTATGCGAATAATGCGGAGCTCATAATACCCTAGATGCCCCCCTTGAGAGCGTGTCTCACGCGTTCAATATGGCGGACAAATTATACAAATGGAAAAGCACTAATTATAATTTCCACAACACCAAGCACACTTGAAAGGTAATTTCTGACATGTGAACAATTATTCTAATTTTTTTTCACCACTTTTCACCCCGATTACATGAAAAATACGCCCGCTATTAGTTGAGGCAGAGATGAATCGATCAGCTGTCGAAATCAATGCCTGCAAACC